GGGAGGGAATGTTTCCGGACCGGTGTCCTCATTGCCGGGGCAGCTCCCGCAGCTTTCAGCCAGATGTGCATGGCCGGGGTGCTGGGTGAAAGATGCTTCACACACGAGGGCTTGTGCATGGGGACGACAGCTCCTCGACAGGGCGCCGGTGGCCCTGAGCAGCCAAGGTGCAGGCAGTGCTGGCACCATCCACCAGCAGCTTGGGACCCCCTCGAGCCCTGCTCACACGGGATGCTCAGCCCCAGCTCCTCAGGGTGCTCCAGCCCCACATCCCCAAGCACACACTGCAGCCACGCATTGAAAAGCTGTGGGGTGCTGCCAGCACCCAGGCCGGGTGAGAGGATGCTCAGGGAGTAGGTTCCAGCCACGGATCCATCCTTGCCCCAGGACCCCCAGCTCTGGCCAAGCATCCCCCTGTGCCTGGCCCCACATGGGTACCAAATGAACATGTTCTCTGCCTGACAAGCCTGGCAAGTTTGGGTATGGGGATAAACCATCCCGGGCCCCTCGACCAGCTACAAAGCACATTCGGCTGACCTGGGAAGCCCAGGCAGGTTGCAGAATCCCTCCCCAAGCCACAGCCATGCTGCAAAACCACTGTCCTGGCCCAAACATGGTTTCCAGTGCTGGGAATGCCCACTGGCAGCAGTGCTGGGTCAGGGCAGCCTCTTTGGCAATGCTCCCTGGCACCCGCCCTCCGGCAGCATCCCTTGCCAGGGCTGAGGAAGAGGAGGGGAACTGCAGATCCTTGGCCTGAGGAGGAGGCGACACAAGCTCCGCTCCAGCAGCGCTGTTGGGAGCTCTGCCACATTCTGGTGGCGTTTGGTATTTCGGGTGAGGGAAAGGAGGCTCCATTGTTCCTCTTTCATTGTTTCGTGTTTCCTAAGCAGGACAGGCACTTCCCTCCCACCCTCGGCCCGGCTGCGGAGCTCATCCAGCCCTTTGAAAGGCAGCGAAGGCGCCTGCTCAAGCGCTGGGTGAGCTGAAACACAGCAAGAAACATCCCTGCTCCCAGGCACAGACTGGCTCCGGGAGCACGTGCAGGGACAAGGGGTGTCTGCGGCAAGGACCCTGCATGGGACACAGTTCATGTCAGTGTCCCCCTGCTCCTGGTCAGGGCCATGCTCCCAAGTCACCACATGGTGCTTTGCATCTGTATGTGGCTGCTTAGGCAGCAGCAGCTTGTGCCAAGCTGTGATGGGAAGGGACAGCAACGATACACCAGACATCAGCCGAGCCACACCAGCAGCCCCAGCCCCGTGCAGTGACCCAGCGAGGGCACCAAGTGCTGCCCCGGCCATGGGTTGGTCCCCACCGCTCCCCCCACCAGGCACTCAGCCAAGGACCATCCTTTCTCCCTGCGGTTTCACTGCTCTCGGTTTCTTGTTCTGCTCCACACAACTAAACCCCAGTAATCAAAACCACAGACACTATTGTCCTGCTGGCAGCAGCACTGCTCCCCTCCGGAAGCCATCCTCTGCTGCCTCGTGGACACCGCATCCAGCCCCATCCACAGAGGTGCAGGATGGGGCACAGCCCATGCACAACAAGCACTAAAGCCATAAGCTTTAGAGCCCAGGGAGAGCAGGGTAGAACCAGTCCAGCCTTTCTACAAGAGGTGCCAGACTGCGAAGGGCCGACGACCAAACTGGAACACCCAGAGCCCAGCTTGGATGGATTTGCCCGGATGCAGCTCTGGGAAGCTGCTTGGCCTGGACAAAACCTTCAGCTGCAGGCCAGGAACAGGCAGGCATTTTGATGAGAAGTGCTTGTTTTCTTTTAAAATAGATTTTATTGTGGCTTCCAAGGAAGGGAGCTGCTGAAATGGTCCATGTTTCCCTGCGCCGCAGCAAGGAAATGGGTTGTTGAAGGACATCCAACCCGTTTGCTGTCCCGGGGCAGGAGCTACTCTCACAGTCCATCCCTACTGTGCTTGGGCTCACATGGGCTTCATGAACCCAGTGATGGAGCTCCAGGTAACCCAGCTCCTGCTCAGCTG